CAATCCTGCAGCTTCCAGAGAAACTTCAGTTTGGGACATTCCCTGTCACTGAACCCCTGAGCAGCAGCAGCAGCGTTTCCTTCCCAGGCTGACACACACCAGGGGATGTGGATGTGTCACAGCAGCACCCACAGGGCTCACACCCAGATTTCCATCCTTCCCCCAGCAATGGATCCATGCCTGATCCCAAAATTCCTCCTTGATTCTGACAGCAAGTCTCAGCTCTAAGGCAGCAGTGTAGGAAAACCACAGAGCACATCCATCCATGCCTGATTCCAGAAATTCCTCCTTGATTCTGACAGCAAGTCTCAGCTCTAAGGCAGCAGTGTAGGAAAACCACAGAGCACATCCCTGGTGCATCCCCAGCAGCAGCACCCACCAACACCTGCTCCTTCTCCATTCCTCACAGGAAACCCATGGATGGCTCCTGGACATCAGGAATTAAAATCCATTGAATCCCACAGGCACCAAGGATGGCAAAAAGGAGCTGATGTTGGTGCTGGCTTCATACCAGAGATGGACACTCCACATCCCAGACTCACAGGAATGGGAAAAAATTATGAAAATCATCATTTGAGGAGGGGTCCATGGCAGCACAGGCCCCTTCTCCTGATTGCTCCACCTTCAGCACAGCCTGTGGGGGAGCTTTGCACCCCATTTTTGCCAGCAGAACCCCATTGCAGGGGACAAGGATGCCTTTGCAAGATCCAGTTGTGCCAGGAAAGCCTCCAGGATGTGCTGCCAGCTGAGCAGCTCCACCCCTGCCAGCCCCAGGGGACAGATGTGACCCGGGCAGCGCTGCCATCCTTCCTTGTGCAGCAGCCAGGGGTGGTGGCACCTCCTGGAGGCACCTGGAGCTTCCCAGGGTGGGCAGAGCTCTGTGGGAAGGGCTTTCCCTGGAGCTGGAGCATTCCCATCCTGCAGGAAGGATCCAGAGCTCAGCAGTTGGATCTTTCTGGGTCCTTTCCAACTCGGATATTCTGTGATGCTCAAATCTCCCCTGCTGGGATTAACCCCAAGGGAGAAGCACCTGGGGCAGGTTCCTGCTTTGTTCCCCACCTGGAGCAGTGCGATGGAGTGGGCTCAAGGCAGGGAAGAGCCACTCCCACCTCCCAACGCTGCTTTATCTCCGCCGGGGTGGGGTTTTCCCCCTCCCATTATCCCTCCTGGGAGAGGAATTCCTGCTCTACAATTACCTTTCTCCAAGGAACAAAGCCAGGCCCCCGAGCCCAGCGCTTTCCAGCGGCTCCTCGGAGCTTTCCTGGGCGTTAATAAAAGCATTTTGTTAAGTTGTGGCAATTTTTAAAGAGGATTTTCCGCCTCGGGAGCCGCAGGTTTGTTGTGGTTTGTTTTGTGTGGCTTTGCCCCCCCCTTCCTCCCATCCTTAAAAAGAAGGAGAAAAGCCAAAAGCAAGCGGATTTGTCATAACACCTCTTTGGAGCAGGAAACAACATGACTTAAATCCTTTCTTGCTTCTGAGACTGTCCAAGGCTCAGATTCTGCTGCCACAACCCCCTGACAGCTCTGGCAACCTTAGCATTGAGAAGGGAGATGGGGAAAAACCATCCACAATTTGATAAAGCTCCCAAATGTTTTCTCCCAAGCAAAACTCGGAGCAGGATTTTGCAGTAGGAGAAGGAGGTTCTTTTCTGGGAGTTTCTGCTGGGAAGCAGCTCATCCATTCGGAGCAGATAAATGTTCCTGTGAACACTGAGCTCCCCTGAAACAAGACACTGGAAATAAATCACTTCCACTGGCTCAAGGTATCGCAAATGCCAGGAGATATTTACGTCACTAAAAATACACAGAATTACAGATAAATCCAGAGCCTCCAAGAAAAACCAGAATCTGTCAGCGTTTTTCCCCCAGCTAAAGGAAAAGCAGCTCAGGTGCTGCAGGTGGAGGTGAGCCAGGAAATACCAGGGAAGGAGGATATGGAGAACATTCCTCTGCATAGAGGAGAAATATTCCATTCTCCAGGAAAGGGATGGGGATTTGGGGAAACCATGGAAGGTATCCCTGCTCCTGCCAGGGCTGGATGAGTTCTGTCCCAGTGCTGGGGACAACGCTGCTCCCCTGGCACTGTCACCTCCCACCCTGCTCCCAGGCAGGGCCAAATGTCAAAGGAGTCTCAGTGAAACAGGCTGTTTGTCCCAGCTCCAAACCGAGCCAAAGGGAACTGGGTTCGTTCAATTTTCTAATCTTTGAGTGGCACTTACCACATTCACCCCATCCCATCCCACCCCAAACAGGACTCGTGTGGCCCCAGGGGAATGCACAGCCAGGCCAGAAACACCCAGGAATATTCAAATACAAAATCCCTCTAAAAACAAGAGCTCTGTGCACAGGCCTGTGCTCTCAGTGTCACCCCTCGTGGTCACCTCCCTGCTCCTGGAGCATCCCAGAGCTCCAGAGTCGGTTCCAAGCACTGCTCTGCAGATTCTTTGCTTCATTAAAAGGCAAGAAAAGCACATGGCTGAGATCTGTGTGTGCACAGCTCCCAGTGCTGGAGCTCACCTGGAGCCACGACCAGCCCTGCATGGAGCCCCAGAGCTGGGACCTGGTGCCACCACAGACACAGTAACACCAGAGAACCCAGTGCCACCACAGACATGGTGCCACCACAGACACAATGCCACCAAAGACACAATGCCACCACAGGACCCAGTGCCACCACAGACACAGTAACACCAGAGAACCCAGCGTGCCACCATGGACATGGTGTCACCATAGGATCCGGTGCCACCACAGGATCTGGTGCCACCACACTCTGCAGAAAAGGGCACATGCTCCCTCACTCCCATGCCCACTCTCTGCCTCCCACAGCACCTCCCTCCCCTCCTCCCAGCCCAACACTCTCCAGCCATTCCACCATGGAGAACCGAGAGCCACCAGCTCCATGGTCATTGCAGAGATTCCCTCCAGCCCCAAATGCCGCCTGTCCCTGCTGCTCCCGTCCCTTGCCACCAGCCAGAACCTTCCTGCCACCCTCCCAGGCACCTCCAAAGCCGTGCCCACCCTGCCCCATCCCTGGTGCCCTGGGACGCAGCCCGGAGCTCACCTGGGGCTGCCGGTGCCCGCCGGGGGCTGCCTGGGCCGGGCTTCTCGCTGCTTCTGCCTGCGGCTCCAGAGGGAGCAATGAGGGAACATTTGGGCATGGCCCGAGTGCGGCGGCGCTGGCAGGAGCCCGGAATGTCCAGCTGACATTCCAGGGGGCTGTGCTAGGGAGGGACAGGCTGGCCGGGACAGGGCACAGCCGCGTGTGAGGGGAAGGGAACAGAACGAGAGGAGCCGGCTGCACGCCCCGGCTGCCTTGGGAAATCGGCTCTCCAGGAAAACAACCGCCGAGTTGTTTGTGTCCATCTGTTTTCCAGGGAATTCCCCCCCCTCAGCTCGGGTTTGTCACCTCCTGCAGAGTGGGCTGACACTGGGAGAGGGATGGAGCTTCCCAGAGCTCCCAAAACACCCAGGGGGATGCAGGAGGAAAGGCACAGGGGGTGACAGGGGCTGGGGGACACCAAACCCCCTCTGTGGCAAAGGAAGGGTGTGGGCAAAAGGAGGGGAAGGCTGGGGCTTGCCCAAAGCTGGGCAGGAGGTGAGTGTGGATCCAGAGCTCCAGCCCTGCCAACGGGAAAAGGGACACGTCAGAGCTGGGAGCCGCGATGGGAATGGAAAAGTCCCAGAGAGCTTCCTGCCAGGGCCACACTGTCCCCTGCTGCCATCCTCAAGGACAGCCTGTCCCCCCTGTCCTGTACAGCGAGTGCCAGGGCTCCTGCCAGCCCCTGCACCCCATAAAAACGGGATCCAGGTGCTTTTTAGGGCGTCACAAGAACAGCCAGCCTGGGCAGCACCCAGGACAAGCAGGGGACAGTGCCCACTCTCACCCCCAGGCCCCAGCAGGAATTTGGGGACTTCAGCACAGCCATGCCCAGCCCTGGGGCTCCCATGGGGGAAATGCTGGGGAGGAAAACCCCACAGCTGGGATAAGGATTGGAGGGTGTGGAAATCCCCACTAAGTGGAGGGGAGAAACCAGCTCAGGAGGAGCAGAGGGATCAAACAAGGATGAAAGAAAGACCCAGATTCCCCAGGCCTGGCTTCCCAGCTCCCCTGATCTTTCCAGGAGAACTGGCCCCGTGCCCTGACTCCGTGCCCATCAATAAGGTGCAGCATCAGCTGTCGTGTCAGCAGCAGGAACAACATCCCGTGGGAAGGGCTTTAAATGGAAGCAGGAAAGGGAAAGATGAAGAGCTGGGCTCGTTTCAGAGCCCTCGTTGGGCCACGTTTGCCTCCCTGACAGGGAGGGGGTGCAGCAGCTCCAGTGGATGAGTTATTTATAGAAATGTGCTTCATTAGAGAAATTTACTTTGCAACAAAGTGGGAAAGGGCCCTGAGCAGCTCTGCTTGGCAGTGGGGCTGGGAGGGGAGCAGGGCAGGGGGCAGAACCCAGGAAAACTGCCAGAATTCCCAGTCCAGTCTGGCATGGAATGGGGCTGCTCCAGCCCGGAGAGAGGAGATGGAGCAGGGGACACGGTGGGGGTGACAGCCACAGCCCCTGGCACAGGGAATGGCTCCATCAGCACCATTTCCTAACCTGGAACACATTCCAGCTGTAACTTAGCAACCTCACCTGGGTGAGAGCATCCCACCAGGCACGTGGGGCCTGAGGAGAACCAGCCTTGCACTGATTCCCTCCCTTTTGTTCCCAAATCTCAGCAACAACTGCAAGGCAGAGAGGAGGCAGCTCCTGCTGGCCATGGAGCCATGGAGCCACCCCCTTCCTGTGCCACTGGAAATCCCCTTTGTCACCCAGAGCCACAGGATGAGATGAATTCATCCAAACTGAGTCACCCCTTTCCACAGAAGTCACACAATGGGGAACCACTCCTGCCACACCTCAGAGCTTGGGAGAAGCTGCAACTCGACCTGATCCAAGCAAAAGCACTTGGGCCAGTCTGTGATGTCTCAGCACAAATAAAAGTAGTAAATGATTGGTAATAAATTTATTTTTGATATTGATTTTTTACAGAGCTAAATGGAACATAGAAACAGCACCAAGCCATTGAAGTTTGTTCTACAAAACCAGGTTTAATACAAAAAGGATGACAGCAATGCCTGACTCTGCACTTCTGGACGGTTAAAAAAGCTCCCCCAAATCCCACCAAGAGTTTAAAAAGGTTTAAGAACAGAGGCACCGGTGTTTGAGAGAATTTCTCTGGCAGCAGTGATCTTTATGCATGTGGGAACAATCAAGGTTGCCTTTATTCCCAATTTATTGCAGTGCAAGGGGCTGGTCCTTGCCTAGGAGAGCTGTTGAGTCTCCTGCCCAAACACCCACAGCCAAAAATCTGGGGTAAGAGCCCCCTCCATGCAGGATATTCCCCATTTAATGGGAAAGATCTCCTGGTTTTGCTCCTGGAGAGCTCAACTCCATCCACGTGGGGAGAGGTGCAGGCTCTGCCAGCTGAGCAGGCACAAGGAACACACCTGGAGTGGCATCACCTGCCCAGGGCTGTGCCCTCAGCCAGCCCAGAGCCCGGGACAGGAGCAATCTGAGCATCCAGCCCCAGGATGTCCTCAAGAGAGCAACACCCAGGGGCCACAGGGTTCAAATCCCTGCTGGCTTCACTCTGCACCTCCTCCTGCCCGAGGCCAGCAAAGATTTGGGTCCTGCAGCCTCAGGAGCTGCTGCAGAGCCCTGGAAGAGCAGAGCAGAGCAGCAGCTCCTCTGCTGAGCCTGAACTGCCACACTCTGGTGCCACTGCCTGGGAAACAAACGTTCCTTCAGTGGACAGAAAGAGAAGCTGAAGTAACCAAGTGATTACAGACACAGATACGATGCAGCAGGGCTGGGACAGAGCCAGGCTGCTCCTGGGACCCACAGGGGGCTGCAGGAACAGCGACAATCCCAGAGCTGGCACCTCCCTGCTCTGACACAAACACAGACACTGCAGCTGCCCAGCTCAAACCTCAGAGCCTCCCAAAGCTGCTCTGAACAGCCACGGAGCACTCCTGAGCTGCAACCACAGGAAAGCGCCTTTAGAAGCTTCCTATATCCTTTATTTTCCACCCAAATTCCCACCCCACACCCCCAAAAAATAAAAAAGCACACAGACTGCAGACTTAAAAGTGTAACAGGGTCACAAACTCTCCTCCACCCCCCCCAGCCCAGCCCAAACCACCAAGGCACGTCAGGCTCCCCCTCTCTCCAGGCCCATTTCACCCAATTCCCCCTCTCCCAATTTTGGATGGATGAAGCCAACACAAAACATTTTCCTTGCTGGGAAGCAGCAAGTGCTTCCTCATTGTCTCTGCACTGATAAAAACAAATGCAAACAAAGACGTGCCTGCAACTGCCACCCTAATGTTTCCATGGGAAATGTTCTCTTTCAGCACATTCCCTGATGGACTCTGCCACCAGTTTGGCCTTTGCAGAATTGAGGTCAAATTTTGCACCCCCAGCCCTCGAGAGGGGTGTGCAGTTATTCTTTGTAGGTTGTTGTTTGCTTGCCACGGGAGCCAGGTCTCTGTGGAAGGCTCACTTTGGTGCAATCCCAGCTTCCCACCAGCTCAAGCCCATCTTCTTTCCAAGCCAGTATTGCCCTGAACGTGTTTGTTTGGAGAGTTCCAGCAGTGAGAGCAAGCAGAGCCTGGGCCAGGCCTTGCTCCTCCCACCACCAGTGAGGGCCCTGAGGCCTGCACAGGGTCCATGTCCCACCCTGCTGCTGCTCCTCCTGCTGCCCTCAGTGCTCAGAATCCGACAGGTACGAGGGCTGAGTCCATCTCCACACCAGCATGTCCTCCCCTGCCACCCTGTGTGACTCTGTCTGGATCCGGGACTCGTTGGAGGCCAGGAAATCCACGGCTCTCTCCCACACCCGCTTCATCTTCTTTCTGCAAGGAACAGCAAGAAAATAAATGAGAATCCCGAGCTGGTTGTGCTTCTGTGCCTGCAGCAACTGGTCCTGTGGATTTGGCTGCCTGCTGTTCCCTGTGCAGGCAGAAAAGGGCATCAAACAAACCCTGGTTTAGAGATTTCAGACCAGGGCATGGCCACACAAATCCTGCCTGGGGGGAGGATGAGAGGCTCTGTCAGTGCCCTGAATTTCTGCCTCAATTTGTGCTGCAAAGGGACTCGATGAGCAAATCACCCTCCCCTGTCCTGCACACAGAGATCTCAGCCAGGGGGACACCCTGATGTTCACCCCAGCTTTGGATCCAGCTGTCCTGAGCATCTCACACCAGGGATGGCTCAAACAGCTGCAGTCATCCCTTGTAGGAAAAAGAACCGCTTCTGGTACAGAGAGAGGATGTTTAACACTTCACAGGAGGACAAAGCAGCTCCATTTAACCAAAACACAAGAAATAACCCCGCAGAAATGGAGCAAAGAACAAGGATCCAGCCCTGCAGCCCCACCACCCACAAAGCAATGAGCTCAACCACAACTCCTGTCTGAGACAGCCCCAAACCCAACCTGAGAAAACACCAAACCCAATCATTTCACTCCAGCTCCCTTCCCAGCTGTGTAACTCAACCTGGCCCCTTTCCAGGCACACAATCACTGCAGTGGAGCCCCAATATCCTGTTCAGCTCATGGGAATTGCTCTGGTCTGGAGAGCCAGGCAGGATGGCTGGGAAAGGAGACAGCACCAGACACCCAGCAGATGAAGCAGAGGACAGCTGAAGCTCCAGGTCCAAGCAAACCAAACCCAGGTACTGCTGAACAGAGCAAGGACAATGCATCTGTGGCACTGCACAGGTGACAACCCACCTGTGGCCCTGCACCAAGTACCTACCTGGGGCTGGCACACTGATCTGCACCAGGTGCAGGCACAGCCTGAGCTGTGCCCAAGCCTTTCCCAACCCAAAGGTTCCAGCAGCTCCAGGGATTGATTTTGGAGCTGTGCTGAGTCCCACCCTGCTGCTTCCAGCCCTCCTGAGTGCCCAGGGCAGCTCACCTGCTCTGAGGAGGGATCAGGCTGTCCCGCACGTGGAAGATGCCGACGTAGGGGTAACGCTCCAAATTCCGCTCCCACTCCTTGTAGTGGTCCTGGACAACAGCTGGGGGACAGGAGGACACAGCAGTGAGGGCTCAACCCTGCAGGAGCACAGCAGGGCTCCCTGTGCTCCCACAGCTCCTACCTATGATCTTCTTCACCATCTCATACATGGCTTGTTCCTCCTCCTCCATCTTGCGCCAGCGATAGCGGAGGTAGAGCAGGATGCCCCAAAGGGTTATCAGACCTAGGAAAATAAAACCAAAGGGATTCAGGAACTGGCAGCTGTGTGCCTGCTGGATGCAGTTTTAGTTCTCACACCGTGACCCAGGGCTGCTGGGAACTGAATCCCAGTGATTCCTTTTGCTCCCCAGTGCAGCTGCACCCCAAAACCCCCTTGGTGCTGCCCCCCTGGAGCACAGGAGCACCTGTGGGTGTGGGATGAGGTGGTGGCAAAGCCTCAGCATGGAGCTGCCCTCAGGAAAGAACCCTCAGCACAACCACAGGACCCCAGGTCCGCAAATCCCAGAGGAGGCTTTGTCAGAGGCCTCCCCTACAAGGATCACTCTGGAAGACTGTCAGGTTTGGAGAGCTGCTGGATAGGGAAATAAAGCCTGGTGCTCCAGTGGCAGCCCAAAATGCAGGGGATGTGTATGGAAGGTTTAGCACTTACAATGCCCCCAGTAGGATTTCAGTGTCTGCAATAAACAGAACTGTCCCTTGTCACCCCCTCCCTGTCAGGTTGGATTAGAAACTCCTGCAGTCACACAGCTCTCGTTATCACCTCGCTGGGTAAAACCCCCTGTCTCAGCTGAGGCGTGACAGACTATTCCAATAAAACCTCCAACCCTGAAATGCTACAAGTCATTATTAAAGAGGCTGGAGGACTTGGGAGCTTAGAGCAAGAAAAAAAGAAAAACTGACTCCTTAAGGTAAGTTAACACACTTATTCTGCAGCCCATAATAATGGGCACTTGAGGAATACCCAGAGAGCTCATCAGCTGCCTGATTTAAAGCAACTTTTAAGCACTCACAGCACAAGAGGAGGGCTGTGGGTCTCCTGTGCTGCCAGAACAAAGGTTAATTAGACATTAACTCATCAGCAGATTTATTCCACCTCTGTTAGGTGTTTCCTATGGCTGAGCAATGTGTGATCACAGAGCTTCATCCCTGCAGCTGAGCCCCAAGAGCCACTTACACCAGAAGAACAGGAACAGGTTCATGATGGCCGTGACCACGGCCCGGCGGAAGCGGCAGCCCAGCCCCATCTGGGGGTGGGCAGATTCCAGGCAGAACACTTCCTCCACGCTGGAAACAGGCTCTGACAGATCCCTGCCTTTCAACCTGATGGCAAGAGGAAGAAAATCTCACTGAAGAGAGCAGGCTGCAACTGCAGTCTTTAATCAAGGAGAACAACCAGGCTGCGGATGCAGCTGCTGGCAGGAAATGCCCCCACACCCAGGCACAGCCTCCTGCCACAACATTTGGGGACTGGTGTTTAGCCAGGGATGGATGTGGCTCCAGGATGGATGTGGCTCCATCCTGCAGCTCCCACTGGCACGCTGAGTATCCCTGCACTGCCTCTCTAACAGCCCCTCTCAGCGTGCACAAGATTGAACTCAAAATTGGATTCCCACCTCCCAGCACAGAGATGGAAACGTTCCCTGAGTCAGAGCCCGTACTCAGCCCCAGCAGTGGGAGCTGGGGGAGCCAGGCTGGGAGCAGGAGCAGCTCCAAGAGTGGCAGAGCACCAGCACAGAGCCCTGCAGAACCCTCAGCTCCCTCCCTGCAGCACTGCTGCTCCCAAGCCAGGCTCACTGCACACTGAGCCATTCCCAGAGCACTCAGGCACCCAGGGGTGCAAGGGACAGGCAGCACATCCAGGGGAATGCAACAAAGGGCACTGTATTTTTTAAGCTCCTAATTATGAACAGCCCATTACACAAAGAGGTTTGCTAATTTACAGGTGCTCAGCTCAGGAACTGCAGAGAGCTTGGCTGGTTCTGGGTTCTGCAGGAGCTGCACACACACAGTTGCTTCCCACCCCTTGGTCTTATTTACAACCCAAATTCCACGGAAATATTTAAAACATGCAGCAGAATCACCCAGTGCAAAGCTCATTTTCAGTCCTGCATCTCAGACTAGCAACTAAAAAATAATCTCATGTAGTTAAAAATGCCAGGGGCAGGGTTTGGGGATGCTGCCACGCTGGATCCAGGGAAGCAGAGCTGTTTGGGGACCAGCCAGCAGAGCTGCTAATTAACAAAATAAAAAGTGGGAGGATATTGTATCCCACAGCTTCTGACTGCAAATGTGCTGGAGTATAAAAACACAAAATTTGAAAACTCTGCATCCCAGCCCACCTACAAATGCAGCCCTGCCCCTAAGGAAGCCGAGCCCCGTCCTGGGAATTTGCACAGCCCAGGAATCAAAGCAGCAGATGCTGTCTGATCCGTGGATCACAGCAGCAGCTGCAGGAATATTTAAGAGCAAATGGAGCACTGGGAATTCCAGCAAGCTTGCCCACCAACCCCAGCACCACAACTGCTGCAATTCACTTAATCACAGACACATTTAGCAACGTGCAAATGCAAACAACTGTTAAGGCTTTAGAGCAGACTGGAGGCAGCCCACGCTCCCCAGAGGAAGGTGATGATGGCTGCTCACTCTGGCAAAAGTGACCTCGTGGGCAAGTTAAGGAAGAGCTGTGGGCTCTACAGGACCATGGGGAGGACACCAGGAGCGCTCCACAGGAGGCACAGCACAACCACTGATGGCCACAAGCAGCCCTGACCTCCCGCCTCCATCTCACCTGTGTCCCACAGCCTGGGCTGGAATGAGACTCCTGGAGGGAGCCCAGATCCCACCCTGCTGCAGGGCTGTGCTTTTCCTTCGGAAGTTTGCCCAGCAAGCTCAGCCACAGCCAATCCCAGCCCCCTGCTGCAGCCCAACGAGCTCTGGGAGCTGAAGGGCACCACTGACCCTGCCAAATTCCGCCCCAGATGCCCAACTTTGACACAGTGGGCTCCTGCCCGCCCAATTCCCAAATCCCTGTTGTGGTTCAGTATCAGCAGATCCCAAACTTTGACACAGGGGGTTTCTGCTCACCAAATTCCCAAATCCTTGTTGCTGTTCAGGATCCAGTGCAGGGCAGCTTCAAACTTCTGTGAGGAGCTGCCAGTTACATTCTGTGCAAAGGAAGCCATAAGCAGATTAGCTCACCATTCATTTAAAATACTGACCAACACAATTTCATTACAGCAGTGGGAGAATTCACTCCATAGGGGCTGAACCCAGGTTCATTCTTATCAGGATTCTGCAAACTGGAGGGAGGAGAACTAAGCCTGAAGATCTGCCTGGCCTGAAGTCTTCTGACTGGGGAGATGATGCATGAAGCACTCAGTGAAATAACACCATCCCAGGCTGTTAGGGCTAACCACTAAATACAACATAATCTTACTGACAGGTTACCAGGAAAGAAATGGAATGCTGGATCAGAGCAGTCTGTCTCCTGACACTCTGCAGTAGAGAAAAATCCTTCTTCTGCCCAGCCCCTCAATCCAGGGAAATTTCTGCTTGCACAAGACTGATGGCTCCAGTGAAACAACAAACCATTAAGATTTACAGGGGGTGAAATCAGAGATGGAGGAGAAAATGATTTTCAAAAGAACTGCTGAGAACAGGACTGGCCAAAGGGGAAGTGAGAGATATGGGAGAGAATCAAAGCAGGATGAGGAAGCAAAATGGATGGTGAATTGTTTTAGTGTCTATTATTTATTGCTTTATAAGAGACTAAGCACTGGGTTGTAACAAAGCTGCTCAGAGCCCACTCACCAGCACGTGATCCTTCACCTCACTAACCCAAATGCATTTGCTTTTTAGGTTCTCAGGGTTTCCACATTCAAAATTACCTGGTAAGAAAAGTCAAATAAAAAAATCATGTTTGTAAAAAAAGCTCTGAAAGTACACCAAGAAATGCTCTCCTTTCCTATCAGCCCCAGCCCTGAGCAAAATGATTCCAGGATGAGATTTATATTGCAGGCAGATCAGATGACTATTAATAAAATGCTCAGCCACTGCACTGAGGTTGGATAAGGGCAATCAAACCTCTCACTTCAGAGCTGCTGCTGGATAAGGGCAATCAAAGCTGACACTTCAGAGCTGCTGAACACACAATGAGGGGGAAAGTATTGCTCCTGCCCCTTGCAGAGCACAGAAACCACAGCTGCCACCAGGTATCAGGTGTGGAGCTAATGATTAGTGTTCAAAATGCCTCCAAGGAGCTGAAATCACAGCTCTGCCTCCAACCCAGGCACAGAAATGCTGGCAAGGCACTAAATCCTCTAAATCTTGCCTCACCAAGTTGACTAAACAAATGTGCTAAGTAAATCTGGTGGAAATCCAAAGTCAGATTTGAAAAGATTTAGGAATTCAGTGCAGCTTCAGTATCCAAAGGTTTCAGCCTTGAGGTCTGAAATGCAGAAAATGGAACTGAAGCCCTTTTACCGATTACCACTGCTGTGAATCTTGCTGAAAGTCCCTGCTCATACAGTGGATTTCTAGCAGCCTACACCATCCCAAATAGCAGTGATGGGCTGGATTTACTCCTGGAGTAGGGACTGTGCTGGGTCAGCTCCTCGTCTCAGAGAGCCTGTCCCACTCTGTGGTGAGGAACAGGAGAGGCACTCACACATCTGCCGCCACATTTCAGCAGAAATGACAATTTCTTAGGACACTTCATGTGTAAGAACACATCAGTTTACACTCCTGCCTCTATCCTGAAGACAATTTCAAGCTGTTGGTAGAAAAGAATAACAAACCCAACCAATCCTACCTGAAACTCCCAACGCTTCAAGCACAAACAAGGCCCACTCATGCAGGCAGGGTGACAGGAGTGCATCAGCCAGGCACCACTCAGAACAAAAATAAACCCACCTTCCCTGTTTTCCTATTCCCTGCCTGCCTCAGCAGTCCTCAAAGGGAACTGCCTGTTCCATAAACCCCTCCAGAGTGGCACAGGAGCGAGCAGGGGCTGGGAGAGGCAGCTCCTGCAGGCTCAGCAGGGTGGGGATGTGCTGGCACTCACCTGCCTGCACGGACAGGTAATTGTAGAGCTCGTGCAGCATGGCCATCACCACGTCCTTCTGCTTGGCCTGGCAGAACTGCAGGGCACAGACAGGGACAGGGACATACATCAGGAGTGACATGGGAGTGCAGCTCAAACACCAGACAGAACCACAGCACTGCAGTCCCGCTCAGTCCTGCACCACAGCTCCAGGCACATCTCCTGAGCAGGGCAATGTGCCAGGAACAAGTGACCCTGATCATCTTCTGGGTGAGTTTTGAGGTTCCTTCCAGCCCAAACCAGTCTGGGATTCTGGGGTTCTGTGAAGTGCCACCAACCCACAGCCCAGCCTGCAGCACCAGCCTCAGACCCACCACAGATGGGTCCATCACCTCCAGAACTTCCCAGCACACAGAACTCAGAATCCAACACAAAACCTTCTCCCTCCTAATGTTTGTGTTGGAAAGGACCTTTAAAGCTCATCCAGTTCCACCCCTGACACCTTCCTCTATCCCAGGTTGCTCCAAGCCCTGTCCAGCCTGGCCTTGGACACTTCCAGGGATGGGGCAGCCACAGCTTCTCTGGGAATTCCATCCCAGCCCGTCCCCACCCTCCCAGGGAAGGATTTATTCCCAATATCCCATCCAAACCAGCACAGGGAATCCTGGTATGGTTTGGGTTGGAAAGGATCCTGCCATTATCCCAGGCTGCCACTTTATCCACCATCCAACCTGGCCTTGGGCACCTCCAGGATGGGGCAGCCCCAGCTTTTCCAAAATTCCATCCTGACAGAGGGAGCAGGGCTGTGCAGGCACTCCCCAGTGGAGCCCAGGGAATTAGCTGATTAAATCTTGCACTGTTAAAGCTGAAAACAGCTTTATTGCAAACCAATAACACTGCTGGTACAACTGTTCAAAAAGAAATTGATTCACGTAATTGGGAATTTAAATTTTTATCTTTCAGAGTCTCATACACACTCCTAACTTCATCTGGCCCATTAATTTCAACTCATCAAGTCCCTATTTTTCTGTAAAACGACAGAACTAATCATTTTACAGTGATGCTGTTATGGGTGGAACAGACTACCTGGAATAATCACTGTTCTGTGAGAGCTCACAAGATTGAGAATAAATAAATAAATGCTTACATCATCCGTTCTTTTGTCACAATCCACAGGCAAGAGATTAACTAGGAGAGAGAAGAGGGTGAGTTAGCTGGCTGCAAACAAGAGCTTTGATCAAGAAAATAATTATCTTTTTAAAAGCAGGCTCAACTTAGAGCCTGGTTGTGCTATTGTTCATCTCCCCGTGGCAGCACCTGGAGATGCAAAGAGCCCCTCCAGGAGCTGCTTTGGGAGGAAAAACACCCCAAGGATGGAGCTGATGAATGTGTTCAGCTGGGGAGTGAAAACTGGGGCTGGATGTTTGAACAGCTCCTGTCTGAGAAGCTTCATGCTGATCTCTACACTCCAGTGCTGCCTCTTGCTGCCCACCAGGGTCACCTGAAATATCCCAGCAGAGCCAGGGAGGGAAATGAACCCCCCTGGAGGGCTGATGGCAGCTCTGGGCTCTGCAGGGCTTGAACAGCTCCTGGCACAACCCAAACCTGGGCACCACTCCTGCCTCCAGAGCTCCTGTCACGGCTGGAACGGGACAATCCAGTGACAATGGGCAGCTTTATCCCAGCTTTGCGAATGCAGCAGCTTTACAACCCACACCAAGGGCACTGTGTGCCCAGGGTCAGGACCAGCACCCTCCCAAAACAGCTCCCAAACCCTTCTTTGTTCAGCTCAAAGCCTGAAATATCCCCATTCCCAGCTGTTCCAGCTGGGGAAACCCCTTTTCATTTCTCACAGAAGAGAGAGACACACTCTGCCACACCTGAAGTACCCAATTGATCTGCTGAACTTCCCCTTGGACAGAATAAAGGGCTGTGCTGGCAGAGGGAACATAAAAAACACAGCCCAGGTACTACACAGACCTCGTGTGACACCATAAAATCCATCCTTGGCCAGCAGGAATGGCACTCCACATAAACCCCATGGCTCTGAGGGACTGAAGGCCAAACTCGTTTGGAAAAAGCAAACTCGTGATTTGCTTCCCATGACTAACAAGGTTCCCCACAGGAAAGGGAAGATGGGAAAAGGGACAGAAACAGAGATGTCAGGTTATGGCAATGAGAATGATAAATGTGATGGGGATGGAAGCAGTAAAGGCAAAGCAGGAAGACAGGTGAGGAATAAAGTTTAAACGAGAATTAAACCAGTGCACGTACACCTCTCCTCTCTCCCGTCCAGCCAGCCTGACCCAGCCATCTTCACCACGAGGATGCCCAGAAAAATCAGCAGCAGCACCAAGCTGGCGAAGCAGAGGAACTGGGACAGGTAATACTCCAAGCCTTTCCCCTTTCCCTCGGGCTGGGGCCGGGGCGCTGAGCGCAGCAGGGCCGTCCGTGGGGTCACTCCGTGCCCCTCATCGCCGGCTGCCCGCCACGGGAAGCGCCGGATCAGCCCCCCAGCCCTGCTGCCCGCATCCCGCTCTGCCTCCTTCCCAACGCTGGCAGCCAGGTCCTCCTTCCCCCTCCTGAACAGGCTGCTGAACCTGCCTGGGGCCGCCGAGGAGCCCCACTGCGTGCTGGGGGTCACCTCGCTCTCCCGTCTCCACCAGCTGTTGGAGGAGAGCCCCCTCCTCTCGCCCGCAGTGTCCCAGGCACCCCGGGAGCTCTGCGCCCCAATTCCCCCTCCCGATGTCCCCCAATGGCTCCTGGATTTCTCCTCACTGGGAAGGGGTTTGGAGCCTGCCGAGGAGCCAATTCCCCCTCCCGATGTGCCCCAGTGGCCCCTGGATTTCTCCTCGCTGGGAAGGGGTTTGGAGCCCGCCGAGGAGCCCCAGTAGGGTGTGGAGCTCAGCCCCCCAAGCCCATCCAAGCCCGAGCCCGCCCGGCTGCCGAGCCCCCCGCTCCTCTCTGCAGTGGGGCTCCACTGGGACGTGGAGTTTGAGCCCCGGATCCTGTCCAGGGTGGGTCTCAGGCCACTGCTGAGCCCCCCACTCCTCTCTGAGGCGCCCCACTGCAGTGAGGAGCCCCGAAACCCATCCAGGGTGGTCCCCAGCCCCTGGCTGAGCCCCCGGCCGTGCTCTGCGACATCTCTGGATGTGTCCCAGTGGGACGCAGAGCTCAGCGCCCCGGCCCTGTCCGCCCCCAGGCCCCCGCTCCTCTCTATGGACGTGTCCCACTGCGAGGGGGAGCTGAACCCCCCGTGCCCGGCCAGGGATGCCCCCAGCCCACCGCCACCTCTCTCCACAGTCGTCCCCCATTGATCCGAAGGGCTCAACCTCCCCAGGCTGTCCCGGGAGGAGCCGCCCTCAACCCTGATGCCTCCGGCCCGGCCCGGCGGGGACCCCCGTGGGTCCCCCCAGGATTGCCCGCCGCTCTCCCCGGACGTCCCCCAGCGGGACGCTGGCGGCCGCCCCACTTCCTCCTCCTCTTCCTCCTCCTCGTCCTCCTCCTCACTCTCACGCGCGGCCGCGCCGGTGAAGCCGGAGCGCTGCCGCGAGGGCGAGGCCTGCGGCGGCCCTGCGGAGGAGCGGCCCGGGCTGGGCGGCGCGGTGCGGCCGCTGCGCCGGGCCGCCGCCACCTCGGCCCGCAGGCAGCCCAGCTTCTTGATGTAGACCTTGCGGGTGGTGGCGGTGATGGGACCCGGGCGATAGCCGAGCGCCAGCAACTCCTTGCGGAGCTCCGCGTCCGTCAGCTCCGCCATGGCCGCGCCAGGCCCCGCCGGAAGCGCCCCGCGGGCGGGAAGCGACGCCGCCATCTTGGGAGGGGCCCCTGGCGCCGCCATGTTGGGAAGGGCAGGGGGCGTGTGGGGAAAGGGCGCGGGGGGCGGGCGCCATGTTGAGAAGGTCAAGGGGGGTGCGGGCTCCGGGTTCTGAGGGAGCAGTGCGGAGTGGGAGCTGCTGGTCCCTCAGGACCGGGAAAAAGCAGGAGAAATGGGGAAAGCAAAAGGCGAAAGCTGCCTCATCTGCGCGACGAGCCAGTGTTGAAGATGGGTTGTCCCCCATCGCTGTGTGGAGCAGCTCCCGCCTCACTCACACTGATGTTCTGACATTTTTAGGGCCATTCTCCCAAAAAATGTCCCTTTCCCTACCACCCCCACATGCGTTTCCATCATCACTGCCCAGTTGCTGAGCTCTGCCAGAACCTCAGGCAGGACCAGGATCCAGATCCATGAAATATTTCCTGGGAAGGGGGGTCGTCCCTCCACACCCCACACCTAAAACAGCAAACCCAAGCGTTGACTTGTAAATTTATTTTGGCACAGCTGTGATGAACAGTAATTGCTTTTTCCTGCCGCCGCCGCTAAAGAAAACGATGAAAGCGGCTGAAATACGGTGGCGTCATGTTGGAATTTAATTAAAGGTAATGGAGCAGCGGTGCTGAAGGTGCTGGCTGTGTGCCACGGCAGGTGATGGATGTGTGACACTGGGGTGGGGGACACGCCGTGGTCCCTCAGGAATGGCACCTGTGGGGAGAAGGAGGTTTCTAGAGGAGCATGAAGCTGAAAGAGCTGAGCTGTGCCTTCCCGATAGGAATCACAGAATTCCAGAGTCAGTGAGGCTGGGAAATCTCTCTTAACACCATCTATTGATCCCTACCTGAGTGCCACATCCAGATTTCCTCAGACACCCCAAGGATGGGGTCTCCAAACCTCCCTGAGCAGCCCCTTGCAATGTTAACAACCCTTCCCATGGAGAAATTCCTCCTGATGTCCAACCTGACCCTCCTCTGGCACTGCATGAGGATCTATCCTCTTGTCCTGTCACTAATCCTTCTTTCAGGAACCCTCTTCCTTAGCAGGTACCCAAAGCTCACCTCGCTCTTCCCAATTTATCCAAGAAAGCAGCAGCAAGATGCTGAGATTTGTTTGTCAGGTTGGCAACAGCAAATACATCCTCAGTAGAGGCCAGGGAGCCCATTAAAAGAGCAAACTCAGCTGTGCTGGGAAGTGTGAACGCGCTAAGCTGAGCTTACTCCGTGCTCCTCTGCCAGCTCATGATGTGGAGAAGGGTCTAATGTAAATAAAAAATTCCAATTTGCTCCTATCACACAGATCCTGTGAGCTCACAGCTCTCACTTTGCAGAAGCTCTGCCTGGGCATGCAGCTGCGCACTGGCTGAGCTGGTGCAAACCTGGGAATTATATGAACTCACCTTTTTCTGGGGAAAACAGCAACAAAAGCCCAAACCCATCCTTTCAATTTGTGATTCTGCCCATCACGGGAATTACACCAGGCCCAGCAGCCTCATTGCACAATCTTTAGAAGGAAAGACATGGGATTGGTGTTGGACAGCTGGAGGATGGGGGAAAAGCTGTGATTCCTCCTCAGAAGGAGGTTGGCAGCACCAAAGCTCAGCAGGATCAGGTGCCTCTTCTTTGTGGAGAGAAATCCACGACCCCTTTCCCTTCCTCCCCTTGGAAGAACCCCTGCCTTCCCTGGAAGGCATTTGGCCCCTACAGGGAAGGCAGCAGGAACAGACGTGTCAGACCCTCTATCCCCATGGGCAATCTTTGTTCCCATCCCCTGCCCACAGTGCCAATGCTGAATTTGACTGTGGATTTTCTATTTTTGCGGCCCCTCCATCATCCTCATAGCTCTGGGAGCACCGAGCGGCGCCGAGGCTGCAGATGGGCTCTGCAAAAAGCGTTTCTTGGCTGGAAAGAGCCGGAGCTGGCTGTGGGAAGCTGGGACAGCACGGAGGGACAGCCTCCACCTTCCCTGCGAGCCCAGAAGGTGCCTCAGAGCTGCTGGCAGTGCCTCCCATGCCAGAGGAGCAGACGCGACGCGCCGGCTGCTCCGGTTCTGGCAGCCTGGTGCGAGCAGAGCCCTGGGAATGGATCCGTGCTGGAGCAGGGAATGGCTGCACCCCAAACCCGCAGCTGAACCCTTCACTGCTGACTGATGGGCTGCTGAAACCCTGCAGGTCCCCACTCACCTCCTTATCCGTGGCTGTTGGGTGCCAGCCCTGCACATGGCACTGGGGAAGTGTCAGGGCTTTCTTGGGAGCCGACTGTGCCCGTTTGTCACCCTGTCACTCACAGCCACAGCACAGGTGTGACCCGAGAGCCCTCTGCCTGTCCTGGGCCTGCTCAGTTCCTTAGCAAGTCAGAGGTGACTCCATTCCCTTCCCTTTTCCCCAGCTATTGGGCTGCTCATCCCACCATGAAATTCTTGTTTGGTTTCTGGAGCAGCAGATTCTTCCTGCCTGTCTGCAGGTGTGACCTGGGTGCTGCTGGCTGCCAAAGCACCTTCCAGGGCAGGGGAAAATGCAGATCTGTCCTGAAACCTGGAGAACACTTCCTTCTTACCCAGATCCAGAGCCCTGACAGCCTGGAGGGGGCTGGTTGGGGTCCCTCCATCTCTTTCCAGTGGAAATGTTTCTGCTTCTCCTGCTCAGGCCCCTGAGGGTGGAAGGAATTTACTCCCAAAAGTTGAAGGTGTACTTTGGTGCCTGTTTGGCCACCACAGTTGGTGCTGCAGGACAGGACAGGTCTCTGTCACAACCAGCCATTACATCCTGAGCTCATTTATAATTGGGACAACTGGGACGAGCAATGGAAAATCCATGGCAGGGGTCAAAGCTGGCCCTTGCTGATGCAGCTTGTCTGGGTCCAAGGGGAAGAGTCCTGCTGGTGGATCTCCCTCTGGAATTTTCCACAGCGTCAGCCCCCCCATCACCCCAGTGGGAAATGGTCCAGGAAGCAAATCCAAGAGGCTCATGTTCACCTTCTTTCTTTCCATCACTTTCCTTCCTGCATGGCCCAGGGGACGTGTTAGCCTAGAGAATGACAGGAGTGAAGGAGCTGGGAAAGGGCACACTGAGGGGGACAGCTCTGGAGACAGTGGAGCTGATGGAGGGGGTTTGGGGGCAGTTTTCCCTTTGAGGGGGAATTCTCCTTTGTTTTCATGTGGCAGAATCAAACCGGGAGTAAAGGTTTGGGTGTCTCTGAAGTGACAAGGCAAGAGGTGCTCTCTGAAGAGGACAAGACTCTGACCATGCTGCACACTGGTGTAAATGTGGCACAGCTCCTCCTGTGATTGCCATGCCAGCTCTTCCGTGGATATCACCCCTCTGCAGATGGAGCTCCTGCAGCCCAGACTGCTCTCACTCCCAGCCTAATGGAATGTGTTATTTCCCATCTCCCTCCCACTCAGAGTCATTACAGAGCTTCCACAGCTCACACTGCCTCAGCATTACTGGGAGCTTCCTGGAGCTGATCAGTCCCTGGACAAGGAGCGTGCCTTTGGATCAAACATTAGAGCTGTAATCCACTGCACGCTGCCTGTTCCATTACCCATTGGGAGCTTTCTCCTCTCCCCAGGGCTGCTTGCAGCAGAGTGCTCCGAGGGGTGTTGTTCCAGCACAAACAGAGCTCTTGGAATGAGCTCAGCGAGAACAGAACTCCTGGTAGGTTGGGAGGATAAAATTGGATTGGAATTGGATATATTCACGTACATACCATTGATCTCATCCATCCGTACTTTACATATGTTGGATTTCCTGCTGCCAGCAGAGAGGAGTAGCTCTCAGATAAGCCAAAGGTATGGAAATGGAGAGCAGGATGTTCAAGTGGAATTAGGATTTCACCTTGGGGTGTGTTTGAGAGGCAGGAGAAAGGGCAGAGTGCAATTCCCTCACACTGTGCCTGGCACAGCTGCTCCTCACTGTGCTGGTGGATTTACAGCGCCAGGCTGACAGGAGGGGTTTGGGCACCGGGAGAGGCTGCCCATCAGGGCTCCTGCATTCTCCAGCAGTGTGGGAATGTGCCAGAGCACCCTTCTGGAGCAGGGAACTGAGTTAGGGACACACAGGTCCCCCCTTGTGTCACCAGTTCGGCCAGGAGGTCTGGTAAAGGTTTGCCTCGGTTTCCCTCATGGCTAAAAGGGAGGGATAAGACTTAATACCCCTCAAAGATTGATTCCTCAGGCTCTGACACACACTTTCACAGAATCCCAGAATCCTTGAGGTCAGAAAATCCCTCCAGGATCATTGAGTCCAACCTGTGCCCACCATGAGCCCTCAGTGCCACCTCCAGGTGCCACCTCCAGGGATGGGCACTCCAAACCCCCCTGGGCAGCCCCTTCCAGCCCTTTCCATGAGGAAATTCCTGCTGATGTCCAACCTGAGCCTCCCCAGCCCAGCCTGAGGCCGTTCCCTCTCCTCCTGTCCCTGTTCCCTGGGATAAGATCCCAAATCCCCCCCGGCTGTGCCCTCCTGGCAGGAGTTGTGCAGAGCCAGAAATTCCCCCTGAGCCTCCTTTGCTCCAGGCTGAGCCCCTGCCCAGCTCCCTCAGGACTCTCCAAACCCTTCCCAGCTCCCTCAGGACTCTCCAAACCCTTCCCAGCCCCCTCAGCTCCTCACAGGACTCTCAGAGCAGTGCTTAGAAAAATAGGGATGTTCCCCAGAACCTGGAGCCTTTCCTTTCTCCTTTTTCCCACACTGGGCACTCCTCATCTGTTAGAGAGGCTTGCAGGACAGAAGACACAAATCCTCCTTTTAATTACGTTGCACATTTATTATCTCACCTCAGATTTTGTTAATCTCTCTCACAAATTTCGTTTATATAAGTGGAGTCTTTCAGCTTGAGCAGCTCCATCACTCTCTCTTCTGATCCTGCAGATATCAGTCAGCTAAACAGAAAAGAGAGACAAGCACAAGTGTCCTTAAAGCTCTGGAAAGACTGAATGAATGCCAGATTTAT